AATTTAGAGTCCTCCCTTGCTGTGTGGGATATACACAGCCAGACTCAATTGCCAGATGGAAATGAGCAGGCCCTGAAGGCACAAGTAGGTTACATGAGGGGTGATCCCAATGCCACCGCCCCCACTCCTGCTGCACTGCTTTCTCTCCCCAGCCTGCACCTCTGGCCTCTGGAGAGCCCCTATGATCAGTTGACTCAGGCCTAACTTACAGTTGTCCTTTTCTGTTATGGTACATTTTCTTGTGTATATACACATATATTAAGCAAATATCTTTGTTTTCTTTCCTTTCTTATTCCTTTGTCGTGCAACATAAGATGTGTTGACTTTCTATCAGTTTTTAAATATTGTTAAATTTGCATATAGTGTTTAAATAACCAGACATTACAAGAGTGAACATCACGCAGCAGTTTACCTCCTTTTCTGGGGAAGAATCAGTACATTTATAGTTGTGTCTTGAGAGCTTGTTTGGAGGTTCTAGCAGGGGAGCGCAGCTACTCGTACACCCTTGACCGAAGAACGGTCCTCCTCTATTGGGGATGGTCGTCCTCTTCGACCGAGCGCGCAGCTTCGGGAGGGACGCACATGGAGCGGTGAGGGAGGAAGGGGACACCGTCTAGCCAGCCAGATCAGCCGAATCAACCCTGGCGATCAATGGGGTGACAGATGTCGCAGCCAGATCGCCCTCACATCCTATAGTTGTGTCTTATTGAGCAAAATTATGACCTTGTTACTGTTACATTTTTCTTGGTAGTGGGGACTAAACCCAGGACCTCACACATATCCGCATTCTCCTTGTTACTGTTTTTTTTTTTTTTTGGAGTTTATGTCTGGTTTAACAAGATGGGTATAAATGCCATGTTGAACTTGTGATGACTAACTTTACTGTCAACTTGACTGGGCTAAGGGGTGTCTAGGCTGTAAGAAAAAACATTATTTCTGATTGTTCCTGTAGGGTATTTCTGGAAGAGATAGCATTTGAGTCTCTACACTGAGTTCAGGAGGTCACCCTCACCTATACCAGAGGCCTTCATCAATCTTTGGTGTTCTGACTGGAACAAAAAGGTGGACAAAACAGAAGCATTTGCTTCCTATGTAGGCTTGGACATCTTTTCCAGCCCTTTGATATCAGGCAGCTTTCTAGGGTCTCCAACTTCCTGACAGCAGATCATGGGCCTTCTGGGCTGTTAGAATCGTGTGAGCCAATCTCTCTCTCTCTCTCTCTCTCTCTAGATGATAGATGATAGATATAGGCAGATACACATACATACACATATATTCTATTTGTTCTGTTTCTCTGGAGAACCCTGGGTAATACACAGCCTCTTGGGTAAAATATTTCTTTGTATGTTTGGTCAATTTTCTTTCTTTTTTTTTGACAGTACTGGGGTTTGAACTCAGGGTGTCATGCTTGCTAGGCAGTGACTCTACCACTTGAGTCACTTCACCAGCCCTTTTTTTGTGTTGGATATTTTCAAGATAGGATCTCATGAACTATTTGCCTGGGCTGGCTTCAAACCTTGATCCTCCTGATCTCTGCCTCCTGAGTGGCTAGGATTATAGCCATTGGTGCCCAGCTTCGGTCCATTTTCTAATTGGATTGTTTGATATTTTTTAACTGTGAAGTTTGAGAACTTTACAAATTCTAGCAATAAGTTCTTTATCAGATAAGTGCTTGCAAATGTTTTCTTCCATTCTTATTTCCATTCTTTTCACAGCAAAAGGATTTTAAAAATATCATTGTAATCTACCTCCCTCCCTTCCTCCTTTCCTCCCTCTCTCCTTTCTTTCTTTCCTTCCTTCTTCCCTTCCTCCTTTCTTTCCTTCCTCCCTCCCCCCTCCTCCCTCCCTTCTTTCTTTCCTTCCTTCCTCCCTCTCTCCTTTCTTTTCTTTCTTTCTTTCTTCCCTCCCTCCCTCCCTCCCTCCCTCCCTCCCTCCCTTCCTTCCTTCCTTCTTTTTTCCTCTCCCTCCCTCCCTCCCTCCCTCCCTTCCTCTTTCTCTCTCTCTCTTTTCTTTCTTTTTGTGGAGCTGGACATTGAACTCAGGGTCTCATACATGTATCTGGAATTACGTGCTGACATATTTTGAAAAAATAATATATTAAATTTGCTTCAACATAGTCAGGGGAGGGTGGGAGGTGGGTGGAACATAGGTCACACAAAATCAACAGGTGTGCATGATGCTCATACTAATATTCTCTGTACTCTTAAAGATAGTTAAATTTTTCTCCATAATAAAAAGTATTAAAAAAAAAAGCAGACTATCATTTTAGGGTACATTTTGTGTGGGGAGTGAGAACTGGGGTTTGAACTCAGGGCTTCACACTTGCAAAGCAGGCACTCCACCACTTGAGCCACTCCTCCAGTCCATTTTACTCTAGTTATTTTGGAGATGGGGTCTTGTGAACTATTTGCCCAAGCTGGCCTTGAATCTTGGTCCTCTCAGTCTCAGCCTCCCAAGTAGCTAGGATTATAGACGTGAGGCATGGCACTTGGCTTTGGGGTACTTGCAGGGGATCTGCACATACCACTTGGAAAACCTGCTCTGAGCAGTCAGTTTTTGTCAGTACTCAGTAACCCTGGAGCCCTGAGAGAGCACACCTGATTGGCTGCTGTCTTCCAAATAAATGGGAAAGACAGTAATTCTCAGAGAATAAAGGGTAACAACCTCATTAGTGCTGTTTGTCACTTCCAGGGCCACATCCATTGGAAGCTGAATTTTAGATATTGGATGTCTATAAGCATCCGTCTGTCTGTCTGCCTTTGAAAGCCCATAGAGGGTTTTGAAAAACTGTTGTTCACAGGAGGGTGAGTGTGATAACTTTTACTATTAGTTCACTCTAACCCCGGCCTCCCTTGTGCTGAGCAGGTGCTCCACCACTGCACACACCTGGCTCCCACTCCCAACTTAAGGACTGTCTATGGGGACCTTGTGAGGCCCCTAAAACCTTGTCCCCAACCTCAGCTCATGGAGGGGCAAGTCACAAGTCACCCTCATTAGAAAGCCGTGTTCTGCTTCCTGGTGGGACTCAAGGTCACCAGGTAGGGCACAGGTGGGGCGGGGGCTGAACAGGGACGGCCGGTGGGACAGGTTTGTGCTCATGCATGCTGGTCTGTTGATACAACAGAGCTGCCTCCCCTGCAGGAGCCAGGAGCTGGGAAGCCGCGCCTCAGGGAGGCTGGGCCCTGGGACACTCCAGGCCACCAGCCACCACCAGTGCAGCTGCAGCTGGCTGCTCACGGCTCCCTGCTCTGTGCATCAGTGGCCCCTCCTCAGAAGCAGCAGTGTGGAAGGAACTTGGGTAAGTGCCGTCTTTCTGCTGTAAGAAGCTAAGTCTTATGTCTCTTCTGTGAATACATTGCCTTATTTATCAGAAAAGGTAAGTAAGAAAACTTTGGACTCCTCTTGATGTCAAAATGCAAAAATTCAGGAGCAGAGCATGCATGCTTAGAGGGAGGGGATCAGTAAGTTAGGAAACTGGTTTTGAACACCTGCTTTCTGGTCATTATTGAGCCAGACAGGTACTAGAATGAGAAACATGGCATGGTTCCCACCTCATGGTTTTCCTGGCTAGTGAGGACACAGACCTTTGTTAAACAAGCAATTGCAAATGACTGATACTCTGTAGCAGACAGAAGGCGGCTCAAACCCCTGGGGAGGTGGGGTGGTCTGGGAAGGCAATAGAGGCAGAGGGTCCTCACACCAGATCCTGACACTACACAGAGGGATAACAGGGTTGTGTAAGGTGTGAGGATGGAGGGTAGAGGGAGAGAGCTCGAGGTTCCAAACCCAGGGGAAAGCCTGAGCAAAGGCCCTGAGGTAGGCGGGAAATAAGAAGAAACAAGTACAGGCATGTGGAGAGCAGTGAGAAACCAGAGGAAGCCAGAGAAGCTGCAGGCAGATCCTGCACTCCATGCTGGCCAGCTCAGGAACTTTAAACTTTATCCTGCCAGAAACTGGGATAACCAATAGGCTCATGTCTGGTAAATAACGCCCACGCTAGAGGTTATAGAGTGAGACAGACCCTGGGGGCGCAGCCAGAAGGCTGACTTGGAGGGAGACAACTCAGAGCGGCAGCAGTGGGACCCCTGGATGAATTTCCATGCGAAAGGAGTCTGCCCCATCCCCACCCCATGGTCTTCAGTTCGGTCACTGGAAGAAATCTTCTGCCTTCTTCCTGCCGTGGGAGGTGTCCTTCCTGTCCTCCATTCCAACGGACACTAAAGGCAGGCAGCCCTTTTGGTACGAAGCCTTTGATGGTCCATCTGGGGATATGGAAATGTTGAGTCACAGACTGCCACACCCCACAGTTTGGAAGCCTGGGAGGCTCCATTGCCCAGGCTCCATGGCCTTACTGCGCGGGTGCACAAGTGGAGGACAGAACCTTGGAGAGTCAGGGCCTCGGCTGCCCTTCTCTGTACTTATAGTGAAAGTTTGGATGTGCACCAGTTAGACTATTGGATGTCTCATTGCACATGTCAAGCATCCCTTATCTGAAACACTTGTTTCGGATTTCAGAGCTTGCAATATTGCATTTATGTAATGATATATCTTGGGGATGGTACCCAAGGCCACATGAAATCATATGGGTTCGTTCACACCTTATACATACAGCCTGAAGGAATTTTACACAGTATTTTCAAAGCACCTGTGCTGTGTGTCTGTGATCTGTCACATAAGGTCAGGAGCAGGCTTTTCTACTTCTGCATCAAGTGAGCACTCAGATTTTGGAGCAGTTTGGCTTTCGGATTTTTGGATTAGAAATGTTTGGCTTGCATTCACACTGAGATGTTTGGGACCACCTCTTGGGAGAGCAACGGCGGCTCATTCTTTGAACCAGCAGCATCAGTGCTGCTGTGGATTGGTGAAACTGTAGCCACAGGTGGCTGTGCCAACTCACAGGTTTCTTTAAGTTGGGAGTGATTCTTGTTGGATTTTAATTTTATTTAAAAGAAATCATCTGAGGATTTTCATATATGTATTGCCTTAAGTATCTCTTTTTCTCCTGCAGGTGAAGGCTGGCCAAGATGGCGTCAGTTTTTCGAAGTGAAGAGATGTGTTTGTCACAACTGTTCCTCCAGGTGGAAGCTGCGTATTGCTGTGTCGCTGAGCTCGGGGAGCTTGGACTAGTTCAATTCAAAGATGTAGGTTTTGCCTTCTTTGGAGATAAGAGGAAGGTGGGGATGGGTGTAGATAACTCTTTCCCAACCTTTCTTTGTAGTTAACAAAACTCACTCAGAGAAAGGAGCCTGGAGCTGGAAAGAAGGAGTCTAGAATGATGGATCCCTGGTTCTAGTTCTTCAGGCTAGGATTTATGGTGATAGTGAGCAGGTCACCCACCCTGTTCTTCCTCTGTGGAATGTTTTGAAACTCTTGGGCAGTCACTACATATTAGGCGATATTCCATTTTATTTCCTGTGTGGCATCTTCAAACACTGGCTGTAGCCTACAGGCGCGTGGGTTGCCAAACTTTTTAGTAAGGATAGAAATCTATTTTCTCTGACTAGTTAGTAGGGATGATACATTCTGGAATCAACAGATGTCATACCCAGAAGTGCATTTCAGAGTGGTACTCTAGGATAGTATGACATCGGATTGTCACTCCCCAGGGGCAGCTTACATTCTCCCTTACTGAGTCCAATTAAAAAAAATTAAAAAAATGTCTTCTTTATTTCAATACTAAGGTCAAGGTCAAAGCTAAGTTCCTTCAGGGAAGGATTGTGTCATGTTCTTTGCATCCTGAGTTGCTAGCACAGGACCTGACAAGAGTCAGGTCCTCAGTAACGTTCACTGGACTAAGGTGAGGGCCACCGTCACAAGGGCAGAATTTTTTGTTGATTGCTATAATGCATTACGCAGAGCTGTGGGGTTTTCAAGGTCCATTCATATTCATGACCTCTCAGGAGGGTCAGAGCTGAGGTTTTGTAGGGACTGAGCATAAGAACACCAAAGTGCATTTTGCCTGAGACTCACCTGTCTTGTGTGTGGAAAGAGCTATTCCTAAGACATTTCTAAGAACATTCTTCAGCATTAAAAAGACAATGCAAAGCTACGTGTGGGTGGTCACATCTGTGATCCCAGCAGTTGGGAGACTGAGGCAGGAGGATTTCAAGTTTGAGAAGGTCTACCTAGTGAGACCTTCTCAAACACACAGACACACACAAAGATAATACAATAACAAAGGGGATGTTGGCAGTTGTTGCTACCTAAAGTGTATCTTGTGGCTTTTTCCCTCCCTAGTTAAATGCAAATGTAAACAGCTTCCAAAGGAAATTTGTGAATGAAGTCCGAAGGTGTGAGTCACTGGAAAGAATCCTCCGTAAGTCATTTTTTCTTTACTGTCTAACGTGAACCAGCAAAAGTAGTAGTTGGCAGACCTGTTTATAATGTTTTTTGAGCTGATCCGATCCTAGAGCCAGGGTGAAGGGGGCGGAGGAGGGACCCAGTGCAAAGCTGGCCAGAGGTACCTGTTCTGCCAGACCCCATTCCTTAGTGAGGACCCACAATCACCTTGTGCTCTCTGGTGGGGTGTCATCCCTCAGATTTTCTAGAAGATGAGATGAAAAACGAGATCACAATCCAATTGCCTGAGAAGTACCCAGAGACCCCTCTCCCACGGGAACTGATTACACTGGAGGTAGGTTCTCTGTGTTGCAGTCGCCCAGTTAAGGACACTCATATAGCCAGCCAGTTTCCTTGGGAGCTCTAAGAGCCATTCCCAGGTTCTTTACCGAGTTGCTGAAGGTTAAGAAAGCGGATTTATGTGGTTGTCACTTTTTGCAGATTTTTTTTTTTTGGTGGGTCTGGAGTTTGAACTCAGGGCTTCACACTCACAGAGCAGGTGCTCTCACATTTAAGCCACACCTCCAGTCCATTTCACTTGGCTATTTTGAAGATGCGGTCTTGTGAACTATTTGCCCAAGCTGACCTCGAACCTCGATCCTCCTGGTGTCAGCCTCTCAAGTAGCTAGGATTCCAGGTGTGAGTCACCAGCGCCTGGCTCCAAGGTACAGCTTTTAGGGCCACTCCTGACCCAGGGTAGAGTGGTTTTTCTTTCTCAGCACAGCTCTAGGAAAGTTCACCCCACTTTGAAGAGTGATTTCTTCTGTGCACATAGGATTCTTACAGGCAGCAAAGTCCTGTCTGTGTGCTGCCACTGAACAGGCCGCATGTGGACATAATGGGATGTTTTCTAATTGTGTGTCTGATGCGAAACAATAGGTGAACTGGCTTTTTTCAATCAGTAATTTTGTTCTTCCTTCCTCTTTTGTTTTGGCAATATTGGGGTTGGAACCCAGGGTCTTGCACATGCAAAGCATACACTCTACCACTGAGCCACACCCCAGCCAAAACTGGGTCTCTTCTAGCTGGAGGCCTCTCCTCAGACTGGCCTCTTTAGGCTACCTAGGAGAAGACAATAGCTTTCTTTAGCCAAAGATGTTATAACTAATGGAGCTCTCCTTCCTTCTTCCTTACTTCTCTGTCTACTTCCTTCCCATCTGTCTTTGTAAAACACTGTGCACCTATCATATGCAAGACAGAAACAAGCATGGCCGTGCCCTCCAGTGGCAACCATGGCAGATGGAAGAAGGGGAGAGGGGTCAGAGATAGGGGTAGGAGAGGAAGTCAAGAGGGTGGGTGGAGTCAGGATAAGGACAGCCTTGGGAGTCTGACTACTTTATCGTAGGAAAAGAGTCACTAAGAGGGTCAGGCAAGTAGGAGAGGCCTTCTCCAAACTGAGCAGTTTCTCTGGCTGGGGTCTTTTTTTTTCCTTTGAAAATACCATTTTCCCCTACTTTGGTTTTTTGAGACAGGGTTAGCCCAGGCTAACCTTGAACTCAAGATCCTCTGGCTTTAGTCTTCCAAGAGCTGGGATAAAAAGCATGCACCACCACATCCAGCCTGAAGACATCTTCAAGTTTTTGAGCTGTGTTAAGCCATTGTGGTAGAAATCTTTAATGTCTACTACAGATAGGAAACTGCCAATTCTCCTACAAAATATTTTAGATCTTGTCATGTTAAAATCTGGATATTTTGGGAAGACTTTTTAACCAGTATGAAAGGAGCTCCCCAGATCACCTCCAATTTCAACCTAGTGTTTCATCTTCTAATACCAGTCCCTGTAAATTCAACAGCTGTCTCTCTCCTGCTGCCTTCACCTGCTGTAGCCTCTGACCTGTTCTTGTGACATGCAGGCATCATTCTGGTTTGGGCTTTTACCCTTCTTTCTGAGCTATAGCAAGAGACTTCTAGACTTTCCAGTTCCCTTAACTATTCCAGTCTCTTCTGCCTACACCACCAATTAACCTCTGTCCTGGTTTTCTTCATCTTGTTACTTCCTGTTGGGGATTGTCCCTCTCACCTGTGTCAGGTCAAACCACCCCCGACTGTCAGAGCCTGCTCTCCTGGCCCTGTCCTCCCCCACCAGTCCCCCACCCTCTGCAGGCTGTACCTCAATTGATTGCTCATCTCAGACTTACTTCTCTACCTTGGGCTTTTGCTCGAGCTGTGCCTCATGCCTTTCTTGTGCACCACAGTCAATTCCAAGTCCAGTCTCTCTTCCAGACTCAGTTAATCCCCACCTGGTCTACACAGCTTTCTCCAACTTTGCCAAAGCAGTCAAATTTTAGTTTCTCAGCAATTGTATTGATCAATATGACATTTTCCTAATCTATCTTCTAATTCAGTGATTCTCAAACTTGGCCTCAGGCAGGTTTATACTTTTAACTGTTACTAAGACTTCCAGACAGCTTTATTTACGTGGATTGTGGTCGTTGATATTTATTTATTAGGAACTAATGTGAGAAACAGTGTAAAGTATGCATTGATTTAATCTGAAACTAGTGGTTCATTACATGTTAACACGGCTAAAATAAAAATGACTGTTTGCAAGACAAAAACCTTTATTAAGAAGAGTGCTGGTGTTTGAAGTTTTCCTTTTCCCTTCCTTCCCTTTCCCTTCCCTCTTCCCTCTCCTCCCCCTCCCTCTCCTCTCCCCTTCCCTCTATTCCCCCTTCCCTTCCCTCCCCTTTCCTTTCCTTCTTCTTCCCTCTCTACCTTTCCTTTCCCTCCCTCCCCTCCACTTCCCTCCCCTCCTGTTTCCTCAGTGTCTCTGGCTGGCCTGGAACTCTCCATCTTTCTGGCCTGGAACTCTCCATCTTTCTGCCTTAGCCTTCTAAGACAGACATGCTTCACCATGCCTGGTTACAAATGTCTTAAATGCTTGGCTTAATAGAAGACAGGTGTTTGCTTATGACACTTCCACTTGGAAGCTCCTGTGATACATTGTTTTTGCTGACATATATGAGACAATGTAGACTTGTTAAGTCTACATGGAGTTGGAAAGGGAGGACTATTTTAGTAGCCTTTTCAGGGAATAGTAGGTATTCTTCTGTATCACACTGAAATTTGACAAGCATGGAAACTGCCTTGATTTTGCTAAGTAGGTAAGAAGGATTTTTATTTTGAAATTGAAATGGCCATGCTTCAGATAGCAGTTTAAAAAAGAATTCATGCAGCTGAATGTAGTGTGAGCTGATTGGTTTAATTATCTCTTCTGTAAAGCCCTCTCCAACTTGCCCAAGTAAGCCAATTCCAAGTCAAATCGTAAAATATCTAGTTTGTCTAGTACTAATAAACTTTTTTGAAGAGGCAGAGAGGAGTAAGCATTTGTATGGATCCTTTTCTATCTCTTCGGTAAGAGTGTCCCTTAGGTCATTTATTTATTATTTTGGGATGCTGAGGATAAACCCCAGGGCCTGGTGAATGCTAGGTAATTACTCTACCACTAAACTACATCCCCAGCCCCTTTAGATGGATTTTTAAAAATCTGTAATGATAATCTCTTTTATTTCTTTTTTCTAATAGGTGACCTTAAACTCTTTCCATTATTTGTGGTTACTGGTTTTTTTGTTTTTTTAGTGGGCCTGTGGTTTGAACTCAGGGCTTCATGCTTGCAAAACAGGCTCTCTACCACTTGAACCACACCTCCAGTCCATTTTGCTCTGGTTATTTTGGAGATGGGGATTCTGAGAACTCCTTGCCCAGGCTGCCCTTGAACTGTGATCTTTCCCTTTCAGTCTCCCAAGCAGCTAGGATTATAGGTGTGAGCTCCAATGCCCGGCCTCCCTGGCTCTTTGGCTTACCTTTCCCTTTGTACCACTCCCCCTTTCTGTAAAAACCACCTCACCCTTTACCACTGCACTTAACTTTTCAAGACACTTTCCTAGTGAACTCTTCTCTTTAACATTTCAAGACACACAGTAAACTTTTCTCATAAAATCTGCTTTATCTTAGATCATCCTTTGTGGACTAATGGTATTGCTTTGTTTTATAGTTTTCCTACAGTATGTGTAAAACCAGATTGATTTGTAATTGTCTTGGCTTATGATTCAGCAAAGTGCTCATCACCTGTGTAAGACACAAGGAAGCCAGAGCGATGTCCTCGAGCTCTGTTTCACCTCTCCTCTCCCTACTTCCTTTTGTCAGCATGGCCATATTGAGTTCTGTATTTTCTTTTTCCTTACTTTTCATAGTTTTTATCAAGTATTTAGCCTTTTAGAATCTTCTGATCCATAGGCAGACATGTTATCCATTGTGCCATTGGCCACCTAGACTTTTAAATAACTGGTTTAGTATTACACATTTAAAATTTTTACATAAGTGAAGCCATATTGATTATTCTTCTGTAACTTGGTATTTTCTTTTATTGTTTTATTTTTTAAGACTCCCATATTGTTTCCTGTTTCTGAAATCAATCCAGTGTCACAGTTGTGAAGTGTTTTTATTGAATATAACACACTTTATCCATTGTGTTGTTGACAAGCTTTTCAATAAGTGATCCTTCTGGTTTTTGCAGTATCTATTAAAGTTCAGTATCACGTTCACAAATTGTGTCCAGTGTAGAGTTGACCTCATCCACTGGGTTTTAAATAGTTACATTTTTCATTGTCAAGTCTCTCTCTCTCTCTCTCTCTCTCTCTCTCTCTCTCTCGGCAGTTCAAATTTGAACTCAGGGCCTCACACTTGCTAGGTGCTTTACACTTCAGCCACTCTCCTACTTTTTCTTTTACTTTAGGACATTGCTGTTTGATCATTTCATATTTTTTTTTCTAGTGAAAGTAATACCTTTGTTTACATATTTGAATGCTCTAAAACAAAACTTGAAAATCTTTTTCAGGATGTTCTGTAAAAATGATTTTACACCATTGATTTTGTGATATTTCTTACCATTAGATTTCATTATACGCCTTAGTCAAGTCTGTTTATATGCTCATTTTGGAAAGAAAATTTTCTCAGTTGTTTCTGGCTTCTTTTTTTTTTTAAAGCCCCTTCCTTCCTTCCTTCCCTCCCCTCCCCTCCCCTCCCTCCCTCCCTCCCTCCTTCCTTCCTTTCCTTCTTTTCTCTTCAGTACCAGGGTTTGAACTCAGGGCCCTGAACTTGCCAGGTAGGCACTGTACCACTCGAGCCACATCCCTTCTCCATTTCTGTCTTCTCCCCTTCTCTGCTCACCTCTCCCTGTGTAGTCCTATTCATGCTTGTACTTGGCTCTATGGAGCCACACCTAGAAAGGGCAGTGGTTTGAAGTGATTTGAAGTTTCCTTTTTGCATTTTATCCATCATTACAATGTGTTTGGAGCAGAAGGAATTCTCAGTGTGTAAATTCCCTCTGACTTTCCTTTCAGTAATCTAAATTCGGGAAGGATGTGTAGCTTCCCCCAGTGTTTTCACGCCTTCCCCATTTGATCATAGGACTCTGGAGAGTGGGTGTCCCAGCTCTAGCTATATTTACAAGCATGCAAGTTTATGGCTGGACAGCCACTGAAATTCTAGCTATATTATGGTGCACTGAATTTGATTTTTAGTGATCAGTGATTTAGTGATTTTTAGTGATCAGTTGTGGTTAATGTATAGTAGGAATGTCATAGCATTTTCTGCCTCTTTTACCTTTTTTCTTCCCACATAGACTGTTCTAGAAAAATTGGAAGGAGAATTACAGGAAGCCAACCAGAGCCAACAAGCTTTGAAGAAGAGCTTCCTAGAACTGACAGAGCTTAAATACCTCCTGAAGAAAACCCAGGACTTCTTTGAGGTCTTTTTGTGGGGACTGTATATAAAGGGGACTTTCAGCAGAGTCTCAAATTTTCATTTTGAAAACTTATTGATTTGGAGTAGGAATAAAACACTCTGTATCTGCCCTATGGCCAGGCCATCAGGGAGAGAGAGAATATTCTGGGTAGAGTAACTGGTGCTAGTTGAATTGATGGCAAAAATATTATGGTGTTCATTGAAAAACACATGCTTAAAATGGCCTTGACTGACAGGGAAGTCAGAATCAATGAGCAAATGTAGTCTGAGCAAATTTAGGGTTTTGGGAGGGAGATATTGGGGAAGTTTTCAGTCTGGCAAGGAGCACTCTTCTTGTTTAATTCTGTTAACCATTTGTGGAAAATTAAAGTTTCATTAAAAGCATACAAAACATGGAGGTGTGGAGTGACTTCAAGTTACAATACATTAAATGATAGTAATGGTGCTTTGACTTTCAGACAGAAACCAATTTAGCTGAAGATTTCTTTACCGAAGACACTTCCGGTCTCCTGGAGTTAAGAGCTATACCTGCATTCATGACTGGAAAGTTGGGGTTAGTATAACTCTGTGTCCTAAGAGTTATATGTAGACGGGTCCCTGGTGCCTAACTCAATGCCTGACATGTGATAAATTTCCCTGAGTGTATGACTGACTAACTGACTGAATGAACAAAGAGCCAGGGAAATGGAAACTCTCTCTTGTGAATATAAGGCCTCCACACCGAACAGACGTAAGGGTGACCTTGTTAGGTTGGAGGGAGGGAGTGTTTCCTTCTTGATAATGCTGTACTCATACCCTTCAGCTTGGAGATGCTATGTGTACATTGCTCCTACAGAGGAGAGATATGAGATCATTAGTTTGGTGTGTTTTCTCAACTCTTCTCTGACTTTAGAACAAAGGTAAGAGGTATGTGTTGTTTCCTTGTCTTTGAAGTACTACTTTGATAATGAGCATCTGTGAGTTTTTCCATGTAATTAGAAATGGTACAAAGTCATCTCCAAGAAATGCAATCAAATCATTTCTAAACAGTGAAAGTATGACAGTATGTAGGGCTGTATGTATGACTGTATGTACAGCTGTATGTATGTAGTGTGATACCCATGAAAATATGTGACAATTCAAAATGGAATTTCATTCAGTGTTTAAGTGAGACTTGTGAATTTTAAAAGCATTCTGGACCTTGTGAGTTTGAGGTTTCTAATTTTTTTGGCACTGAGCATTGAATTTGAAATGGAAAGGAAATATATTTGTTGAAAATATTTGGTCCAAAAGTAATACAGGCTCAATGTATCCTTAAAGTAATAAGCCATTAGAAGTCACCATTTTGAAGACCATAGAAGAAGCTTGGATCAGCAATTATCTAAATACAAGGACGATGGGAAAGATAGAGATGTACAGAAAGTGCATATGTTTCCTTCTTAATGCATTACATTTTTTGGTAAGAAATGCTTAGAGAACATTTGCTTCCATCAGCTACAATGCTATATTGAATGGTCTATCATATTTTTATGCAATAAGTAAATATATGGTATCAGAATAATTAAGTAAACCTCAAAATGTCAAAGAATGTTTTCTGTTGAAAACTCAAAGGGACTTGGGGTGAGTTGGGGCTGGGATGTAAGGTGGCTTTGTGACCACTTGCCCCAGAGCTGTGTGAAGACACCTCCTGCTCTTGGAGTGGTGTGGTACCTCCTTCCATGGTTGCCCATCTTCTCATCCCACAGGGCATCTCCCTGTACCAGGCTCTGTGCCTCAGTTATGTCTCCTTTCTGACTGCCCAGGTTCACGGCTGGTGTGATAAACAGGGAGAGAATGGCTTCCTTTGAGAGACTGCTTTGGCGAGTTTGCCGGGGAAACATTTACTTGAAGTTCAGCGAGATGGACACACCTCTGGAGGGCTTCCTTTGAGAGACTGCTTTGGCGAGTTTGCCGGGGAAACATTTACTTGAAGTTCAGCGAGATGGACACACCTCTGGAGGATCCTGTCACGGTGGGAGCTCGGCCTTGCAGGGGGAGGCTCAGCCTTGCAGGGGGCAGCTCAGCCTTGCAGGGGGAGCTCAGCCTTGCAG